TTTTCTTTTTTCCCCTCTGTTTAAAGTTTCCGCGTCCAAGTAATCCATTTTACCGTTTTAGAAGGTCTCTTTCTATAAGTCTATATTATATAACTAAACTATTGTATGTAAAGTAAACAAGGTTTTCAAAATGTTTAAGAAGCGTCATTTAAAATTAAATTAAAATGCTGATCTTACACCACCAGCCTGCTCAGCTTGCTGCCAGCCTGGGGTTCTGTTCACCTAGGCCAGCAGAGGGCTGATCAGGGCCTGCGGCTGGGCCCCCAGACCTGGGGGGGGGGTGGTTTCAGGGGTCAGGGTAGAGGGCTGGAGGAGGGGGTTCAGGGGCAGAAGGCTGGGGTGTGTGGGGTGGCTTTAGAGATCAGGGCAGAGGGCTGGGAGGCATGGGGGGTGCAGGGCAGAAGGCTGGGTGTGTGTTGGTGTGTGTGGGGGTTCAGGGCAGAGGGATGGGGCTGTGGGGGTGCAGGGCAGAAAGCTGGGTATGTGTTGGGGTGGGGGGCAGGGCAGAGGGGTAGGGGGTGCAGGGCAGAAGGCTGGGGTGCTCCCAGCCCCCTGCCCTGAGCAGCTCAGGGCAGGGAGCTGGAAGGGATATGCCCTGTTCCACCCCCTTCCCCCAGGCTCTGTCCCTACCTCTCTCTGCATCCTCTACGGAGCTGTATGCACACTGCCACTCTTCCCTCTCCCCTTCGCTAGGGCCATCAGCTGATTGGCCAGGGACGGAGAGGAGGCGGGGCCGGAAAGCACCGCGCTGGGGGAAGAAGCAGGGAAGGAGGGAAGCTTGGGTGCCGCAGAACCAAGCTTCTGCCTCCTGCCCCCGCAGGGGAGAGCGGGGGGCTGAGTGGGGCTGCGGGCCGGGACCGCGGCAGGGAGCTGCGTGCCACTCAGAATCGGCTCGCGTGCCGTGTTTGGCACGCATGCCGTAGGTTGCCGACCCCTGCTCTATAGCCTTTGCTAAAGTGTGTGGATAGAGCTCTCAAAGCTCACTTGCTATTTTACAATCAGCCTACTATAGTATGGCCAATTCAAGCATTCAAAAATCATGAGATTGGTTTAAAAATCATGAGATTTTAAATAGTAATCATTCTGGGGGTTCATTTAATTTACTTTCTGGTTTTTGAGCCTTTTGGGTTCACATTTTCCATCTTTCCTCTGCAACTATGAGTGCTTGAAACTTGTGTTTTCTAAAATGAAAGCTAAGATTGTCACACAATCACATGACTCCAGGATCTGGGGCTTTTGGACAAACACCAAATACTGAAAAATGTACGATAAAATCACTATCACTCATGATTATTGCCCTTGTACATCACTCCCTTGGTCTCAGATCGGCGTGCAGAGGCTTCTGCCTTTGTAATTGGTTGGTATGGCAGAGAATCTAAGAGATACACCAGGGGACCTTGTGCGCCACATGACTGTCATAATGGGAGTAGGAACCTATGGAGCCCATCCAGCTCTGACCAGATTATCATGGACACAGTGTTCCCATGGGTGGTGCTGGCTCTTAATCAGGCCATGTTCAAGGTCACCTTTGCGGCACATCACCTACTCACTTACCTTACACAGATATGGGATGAAATTTCCCCCCGTGCAGAGCATCCACACAAGGCCTGTGCATCACTCAACTCCCACTAAACTTCCTATCTTGAACATTAAAGGGGCCTTCTGTAGTGCACAGTCCTTTTTGATGGTCTTCTGACCTGGATGAATTTCACCCACTGTGAATGCCCTTTGGCCCCCTCCCCATCTGGGGTGCAGACTAACAAGTTGCATCTCCTTGGGGAAGATCCAGGGCAGCTTGTGTGGATTTACTGGGGCTGGTTTCCCCTGCGCAATGTTCACCACTGCCTGCATTTTGCAGTAGGACTTTCAGTGGGGTGAGTCTTTCTGCTGCTGCCACATGTTATTCTGGTTCCTAGTCCCAAGCATGATGAAACCCAGTCACAGAATCTTTCAAGGTACCACTGGACTGTAGGAAGGATGGTCTTGGGATTAAGGCAGGGGGTTAGGAAGCTGAGGATGTTGGTTCTAGCCCTGGCTCTACACAGACTTCCTAAACAACCTTAAACAAACCCTGTTTGTCCCAAAACTTGGGATAATGGTGCTTCCCCATCTCACAGAGGTGTTTCAAAATGGATTCCATTAACACAAGTGAAGCTTTCAGTTACTGTGCTGAGTATCTGGCATGGGCCACTGCTCAAAAACAGGTTACTGGGCTAGATGGACCACTGGTTTGACCCAGTGTGGCCCCTCTTAGGGGAGCCACGGCAAAGCTATAAATAAACATGTCTGTATCTCCCTTCCCTGTGTGGTTTTACTAAAATAAGGAGCCACAACAAGAAACCAGAGATAGATAGGCAGATCCACAGTGCTGTCCTTTATCAAGCACTGCTTGGAATTGCCTTGGAGGGAAAATGTCAATGATCAGAGATGAAATGAACAAGTGTAGCAGACTTTAGGATGGCACTTGAATGCCGGGGAATCCATAAGCAATCAGAGGTCCCCACTTAGGTGCAGTGCTATTCTTGCAGCCATGGCATGCTAGAGCCCTGGTTGTTTGTTATCTGTCTTTGGGTATCATGGATTAATTTTGAACCTAATAATGTGCAAGTTAATTTGATTTCACAGGTGGTGGGGAGGGGGTCAGAATGGACAGAGAGAAAAGAAAAAGGGGAGAGACAAATGAAAACAGAGAGGAGGGAAACACACACACAGTCTCTCTCTCTGGCCAATCTATAAAGGGTGCACCTCACCGTAACAGACAACTGAACAAAAAGAATTTTCCCAACCTAAACATATTAAATACATTTGTCCCAAGGTTCTAATGGACAGAAACTGAGCTGATAACAGACACATGCTGGGCTGCTGTGGGGAATACCTAACGCTCATTAGAGGGGGAAAGCTGCAGGAGTGGTTGCAGTCATGAGAGGCAGGAGTTACAAGGATTTAATTTCTTGTTAAATTATGGTTAAAGACACCACTGTGAACTGTTTTTAGCGAAAGCATTAGCAGAATGATGCATGGTCAAAGCACTCTCCCTGGGCCAAAGTCCTCCCTGCTAAAAGCACAGTGAAGAGAACAGAGTTACAGCAGGGATGTATTTGAAAGATGAATGTATTAACCCTCACAGCACTGTTCTAAGATTACTAAGAACTATATAGCCA